CAACAACCACCACCACCAACCACCAACCACCAACCACCAACCACCAACCACCAACCACCAACCACCAACCACCAACCACCAACCACCAACCACCAACCACCAACCTACCACCAACCAACCACCAACCACCAACCGCCAACCGCCAACCACCAATCACCAACCACCAACCGCCAACCGCCAACCGCCAACCACCAACCACCAACCGCCGACCACCGACCGCCGACCACCAACCACCAACCACCAACCACCAACCACAACCACCAACCACCAACCACCAACCACCAACCACCAACCACCAACCACCAACCACCAACCACCAACCACCAACCGCCAACCGCCAACCGCCAACCGCCAACCACCAACCACCAACCGCCAACCGCCAACCGCCAACCGCCAACCGCCAACCACCAACCACCAACCACCAACCACCAACCACCAACCACCGACCACCAACCACCAACCACCAACCACCAACCACCAACCACCAACCGCCAACCGCCAACCGCCAACCGCCAACCACAAACCACAAACCACAAACCACAATCCGCAAACCACAAACCACAAACCACAATCCACAAACCACAAACCACAAACCACAAACCACAAACCGCAAACCACAAACCACAAACCACAAACCACAAACAACAAACAACAAAACAAACAACAAACAACAACCAACAACCAACAACCAACAACCAACAATTAACAACCCACCAACCAACAAACCAACAAACCAACAAACCAACAAACCAACAAACCAACAAACCAACAAACCAACAAACCAACAAACCAACAAACCAACAAACCAACAAACCAACAAACCAACAGACCAACAAACCAACAAACCAAGAAACCAAGAAACCAACAAACCAACAAACCAACAAGCCAACAAGCCAACAAACCAACAAACCAACAAACCAACAAGCCAACAAACCAACCAAACCAACAAACCAACCAAACCAACAAACCAACAAACCCACCAACAACCAACAACAACCAACAACCAACAAACCAACAATCCAACGAACCAACGAACCAACAAACCAACAAACCCACAAACCAACAAACAACAAACAACAAACAACAACCAACAACAACCAACAACCATCAACAACCAACAACGACCAACAACAACCAACAACAACCAACAACAACCAACAACAACCAACAACAACCAACAACAACCAACAACCACCAACAACAACCAACAACAACCAACAACCAACAACAACCAACAACAACCAACAACAACCAACAACAACCAACAACAACCAACAACAACCAACAACAACCAGCAACCAACAACCAACAACCAACAACCAACAACCAACAACCAACAACCAACAACCAACACCAACAACCAACAACAACCAACAACCAACAACCAACAACCAACAACAACCAACAACAAGCAACCACAACCACAACCACAACCACAACCACACCCACAACCACCACAACCACAACCACAACCACAACCGCAACAACTGCAACAACAACCGCAACAACCACAACCGCATCCACCGCGACCGCCGCGACCGCCGCGACCGCCGCGACCGCCGCGACCGCCGCAACCGCCGCAACCGCCGCAACCGCCGCAACCGCCGCAACCGCCGCAGCCACCGCAGCCACCGCAGCCACCACAGCCACCCGCAACCACCGCAGCCACGGCAACCACCGCAACCACCGCAAACCACCGCAAACCGCCGCAACCGCCGCAACCACCGCAACCACCGCAACCGCCGCAACCGCCGCAACCGCCGCAACCGCCGCACCCGCCGCACCCGCCGCAACCGCCGCAACCGCCGCAACCACCGCAATCGCAACAGCAACCGCAACAGCAACAGCAACAGCAACCGCAACCGCAACCGCAACCGTAACCGCAACCGCAACCGCGCCAACAACAGCAGCAACAGCAGCAGCAGCAACAACGATGAGGACAGCGAAAACAACAACGACAATGACACTTGCAGCGATAGCGACAGCAACAGCAACAGCAACAATAGCTGAGTGAAAGCGACTCGCCGCATCAAACTATGGCAGGCGACTGCTCGCCCAGCGCTGGGGTGAAGTTCGCAGACGTGCCTAATGGACTTGCCGCCCTGGGCAAGGCTCGGGCTGATGTCGGGTGAGGCTTTGCCAGCCACAGTTCAGATGCCCACACTGTGACATTGAATGGGTGATTGGGAGGCATGAAGCTGGCCAATGTGCTCATCTATTGAATTTGACCTGTGTTAATGAACGTGTTTAAAGTCATCGGATTTTCCCATTATGCCTGTGGCCGTGCAACTTTCATTGTGCGATACGAGGTGCCTGCTGGCGGCTGGCTGCAGATCGTGCTTTTCCTTGGTTTGGTGGAGAAGGGCTTGTACACCTATGATTCTACCCGCGCTCCCGGCGACTACAAAAGCGCAGGCAGCGTTGTTCGGATGGAAAGTGATGTGCAGACAGCTTCTTTCTACGGGTTCAACCACGTACCTAGAATAAGTACCCCATATTTGTTTTTTCATGTTCCACTGAGTACTTGTTTGCGCATTTCCCACTTTCCCGGCACCTACCCCAATGGTCAGCCCTTTGATTGTGAAAAGGCGTGCTGGGCGTGCCCAACGGCAGCACCATGGTGCCGGGCGAGGGCCGCAACCGGAAGCTCAATTCCGAGCTGGCGAATGGGCGCCTGGCGCGGGGCTGGCAGTGAAGTTCACACTGGGCAAACACAGTTTCGCCCATCGGCCTGGAGAGGTCACCGCCATTGCGCAGACATATGTTGAGTTCTTGTGGCCAAGCCAAAGTCAGAAGCTCCAAGAAGTCTCAAGGATTTGTGTCATCTCCAAGTTTTCCCTCTCCCGGCAGGCCATGATGGCCATCATCGGCATGTTCTTCCAGGCATAGTTTTGCGTGATTTGAGGGACGTCTATCATGAATGTGTACGCTGGGCAGGACGGACTCACAGGCTCTGCTTGGGGTGACTGGGCCAACTACGCAGACTCGCCGCTGCGGGCGTTCGAGGACGAGTTGGGTGTGCAGGCGCAGTCATCAGTATTCGCGCGAGCGGCTGAGTGCAGGTTCCTGTGCTGCATGTGCTTGTTGGCTTCGCTTTCCGCATGGCCAGGCGCCGGTGGGCTTCTTTGACCCGATGGGCATGTCCAAGGATGGTGATGTCACAGCTTTCCGCAGGCTCGGTAAGGGCTCCGCTTTGTGTGCAGCCTTTGCACCTTTTGGTGTAGAAAGAGCGGCAAGCTTGCAAGCCCGGATGCAAGGGTCCTTCCATCCGTCCAAGCAAAGGGCTGGTGTTGTGGCCACAGATTGCTGGGCCCAAGCTCATTTGGCAACTACCAGAGCAAACTATCCACTCATTTTCTAGTTGCAGTTTGGGTCTCCACCCCCAACACGGCCTGCACCGGAAGTCATTGGCAGGCGCCGTGAGAGCGAGCTGAAGAACGGCCGGGTGGCGATGTTTGCAGCCATGGGCTGTGCCTTGGATCAATTGGATGGGACTTAGGAAGGGCTTGGGAAGTGGCCACTTGGGCCAACCTTTCAGGGGTTTCGTCTCAACCCTTCCCGCTCAGTCATCACGCCGGAGTACTTCCGGTTCCCAGGCTACCTTTCGCCCGCGTCCCAGCTTGCAAGTGTCAAACAGCTGGCAATACGTGCCGAACGACAAAGCAGCCTGGCACGGAATTGAGCCTGAGCCTGGCACAATAATTGCAGGCCTGCAAAGAGCTTGAAGTTTGCAGACGTGCCCAACGGCCTGGCGGCCCTTGGCAAGGTTCGGCTTGAAGCCCTTGGATGCCCAGATATGCCCATTCTGCTTCGCATTTCATTCCCAGCCCCCCTGTCAGGTGCCCTTCACTGGCTGGGTCCAGATCTTCCTGTTCTGCGGCATGGTGGATTTCGGCCTCTACAGGTCTGGCACATTCACGTGGCTGTTTGTTTAGAGAAAGGCTGCATGTTCTCCTTCAGCCTACCATCTTTGCACAAATGGCGGGTTCATCTTGGAATCTTGGATTGCCTACAAAGAACAAACAAATAGACAGACCAACAGACAGACAGACGAACAAACAATAGTTCCCTACTTTATGAACGATTTACCCCTTGGCAGGGCGGATGACTCCCGTGACCCGGGTGACTATGCGACCGGAGCTCAGGCGCTTGCGGCCCACTCAAGCTGACTATGCCTTTTGTGTCTTGCAGAGTCCTTGAAAGTTGTTTTTTGAAGATCAGGCTGAGCTTTGTAAAATGGCTATTGATTGTCTTCCGTATTTGTTTTTGCCTCTTTTTGTGTTCTTTCGCGCTCTCTCTCTCTCTCTCTCGCCCTTCCTCCCTCCCTTTTTCCCTTTCCTTCTAGTGTAAACTGATTGTATTTGTCATATGGGAACACCCAAGAGGGTCTCCCTTTGCCTTTAGTTTAGCTGTAAAACAACCCAAAGAGACCCATTGGTGCGGTGCTTTATTGCTCCGAGGAATGCAGGCATCCTGGGAGTGCCCAACGCCAGCGGCCCCATGAGTGATCCGGAGGGCCGTAAGAGGAGACGGGTTGCTGAACTGATACTCGGGTGTTCGACCAAGTTAGTAGGTGGGTAGCCACCGGTTACAACCCACTAAAGAACACTTAGCTTTGCATAACACAGGAACCACTTGCCAACTTGGCCGACCACCCAAGTACGGCAAGGCAATCCATCAAATGCAGTTGTTCAGCCAGGAAACTCAACTCGGAGCTGGCGAACGGGCGACTGGCCATGGCCGGGATGCCTTGTATTGTTGAGAAAGGAGGAGTCATATCATGAAATATTAGTCATATTCCTTGTTTGCCTTGTTGGATGTTGGCCTCATCACCTGGCTTCGAAGAGTTGTGTTTCATCCACGGGAATCTCAGGTGGCCATCACGGGCATGCTGTTCCAGAACGGATGCTTGGCGACGGAATGAGAGTTTTGCAAATGCGCAATTCTGACGCAGAAGTAATAATTGAGAGGAAAGGTTGCTTACTGGCACCGCCATGTCTTGCAAATGGATAGACTTTTGCACACCTCCGATACTCAGATGCAAGTGGAATGCCAATGTGACATTCGATGCCTCAAGAAGCCCGGGTAGCCTTGATGCCGGCAATGCCCGGGTTGGTTGGCTTGATTCTTGTGCCATGCCCCTCTTCCTGACAATAGGGTTTTGGCTAATTTCAAGGGTTCTGTTGGGGGAGCCATGACCATGGCACTTCCATTGTCCTTTGCAGCATCTCAAAGTCCCAAGCCGAGGTTAATCAATGCAGCTTGAATCAGAACGGCTCACCAAAAGCCCTGTGAAACGGCTTCCCCCTAAACCATGCGGCCTGTCGACCCAGGAATGTTCGGCACCACGGGTCCAGCAATGTGGGGCTTCTGAGGCGCTTGCCTTGAGCTTGAGAATTGGTAACTTTTGATTCTGAGAATGGCACTTTGTCAAGACACTTGCAAGCGGACGGCGAATGGCCATTCTGCCCTGTGCACTGGATTCAAGAGATGCATGCAGGTGCGGGCTCCAGGCTCTTGAAGGGAGCGAGAAGCCATCGAGATGTGAAAAGAGGCCGCCATTCAGATCCAGTGGGGCCGAGTGGGTCAGTCCCAGCTACACCTTCTTTTCGGTTGAGAAGGTCACATGGCTGTGGCTCAAACAAATGGTACCAAAGTGGAACCCTGGTAAGGGTAAACATGGACGAAACCCTGCGTTCCTAGGTGTTTAAGTTTGAGACACACCCAACATATGTAGAATAATAAATCTCGAACATATCGCGGGAATTGGCAAATCCGCATGACGCGGGAATTTTGTCCGGCTTTCAGGTAGATCTGAGTGGGTAGCAGCCACCGGACCTTAAGTCGACAACAACCATGGCCACGCAGTCTCGCGTGCTTCCGACCCTGCTGGCTGCGGCCTGCTGTGCCGCAGTCCTGCGCAGCTTCTGGGGCGCAAGCGATGCAGAGCTGACCTTCGCGGCGCCCCAGCAGAGCGTCCACTTGGGCTGCAAGGCTTTGTCCAGCGGTGCCCTGGCCGCGGGCGATGTGCCTGCCATCGTGAGCACGGTTCCTGCTCGGCCCGGCGTGCCAGCCCACTTCAAGGTGACCCTGGAGACTCCTGATGGCACCCAGTCCTTCGACTGCCCTGAGGACGTGTACGTGCTGGATCAGGCTGAGGAGGAGGGCTTGGAGCTGCCTTACTCCTGCCGCGCTGGCTCCTGCTCCAGCTGCGCCGGCAAGGTGCTCTCGGGCAGCATTGATCAGAGCGACCAGGCCTTCTTGGACGATGACCAGATGGGCGAGGGCTTTTGCCTCACCTGCGTGACCTATCCCACATCCGACGTGACCATCAAGACCCACTGCGAGGATGAGCTGTGAGCGGGCAGCTAGAACTTCACACTAGACCCCACGGTTTTCAGCTTCAGTTTTTAGGTTATAGCTGCTGGCCTCAGGCCAAGAGCCAAACAGAACATCTTTCGAGTACATAAAAGAGTACACATGTCACATGCAGATGGAAGCGTTTGTTGGCAGTTGAGGCAGTTGCTATAGTTGCAGCCGTTTTCGGGCTGTACATTCTGGGGAGAGCGAAACGTGAAACAAACAGGCCCTGGCTGCCCAAACTTAGAGAGGCTGTTCAGTTTGGAGATTACTGTGGCAACAGGCTCACATGCAAACGCTTGGCTCTCCAGTAGATCTGAGTGGGTAGCAGCCACCGGACCTTAAGCCGACAACAACCATGGCCACGCAGTCTCGCGTGCTTCCGACCCTGCTGGCTGCGGCCTGCTGTGCCACAGTCCTGCGCAGCTTCTGGGGCGCAAGCGATGCAGAGCTGACCTTCGTGGCGCCCCAGCAGAGCGTCCACTTGGGCTGCAAGGCTTTGTCCAGCGGTGCCCTGGCCGCGGGCGATGTGCCTGCCATCGTGAGCACGGTTCCTGCTCGGCCCGGCGTGCCAGCCCACTTCAAGGTGACCCTGGAGACTCCTGATGGCACCCAGTCCTTCGACTGCCCTGAGGACGTGTACGTGCTGGATCAGGCTGAGGAGGAGGGCTTGGAGCTGCCTTACTCCTGCCGCGCTGGCTCCTGCTCCAGCTGCGCCGGCAAGGTGCTCTCGGGCAACATTGATCAGAGCGACCAGGCCTTCTTGGACGATGACCAGATGGGCGAGGGCTTTTGCCTCACCTGCGTGACCTATCCCACATCCGACGTGACCATCAAGACCCACTGCGAGGATGAGCTGTGAGCAGGCAGCTAGAACTTCACACTAGACCCCACGGTTTTCAGCTTCAGTTTTCTAGGTTATAGCTGCTGGCCTCAGGCCAAGAGCCAGACAGAACATCTTTCGAGTACAGATAAGAGCACACATGTCACATGCAGATGGAAGCGTTTGTTGGCAGTTGAGGCAGTTGCTATAGTTGCAGCCGTTTTCGGGCTGTACATTCTGGGGAGAGCGAAACGTGAAACAAACAGGCCCTGGCTGCCCAAACTTAGAGAGGCTGTTCAGTTTGGAGATTACTGTGGCAACAGGCTCACATGCAAACGCTTGGCTCTCCAGTAGATCTGAGTGGGTAGCAGTCACCGGACCTTAAGTCGACAACAACCATGGCCACGCAGTCTCGCGTGCTTCCGACCCTGCTGGCTGCGGCCTGCTGTGCCACAGTCCTGCGCAGCTTCTGGGGCGCAAGCGATGCAGAGCTGACCTTCGCGGCGCCCCAGCAGAGCGTCCACTTGGGCTGCAAGGCTTTGTCCAGCGGTGCCCTGGCCGCGGGCGATGTGCCTGCCATTGTGAGCACGGTTCCTGCTCGGCCCGGCGTGCCAGCCCACTTCAAGGTGACCCTGGAGACTCCTGATGGCACCCAGTCCTTCGACTGCCCTGAGGACGTGTACGTGCTGGATCAGGCTGAGGAGGAGGGCTTGGAGCTGCCTTACTCCTGCCGCGCTGGCTCCTGCTCCAGCTGCGCCGGCAAGGTGCTCTCGGGCAGCATTGATCAGAGCGACCAGGCCTTCTTGGACGATGACCAGATGGGCGAGGGCTTTTGCCTCACCTGCGTGACCTATCCCACATCCGACGTGACCATCAAGACCCACTGCGAGGATGAGCTGTGAGCAGGCAGCTAGAACTTCACACTAGACCCCACGGTTTTCAGCTTCAGTTTTCTAGGTTATAGCTGCTGGCCTCAGGCCAAGAGCCAAACAGAACATCTTTCGAGTACATAAAAGAGTACACATGTCACATGCAGATGGAAGCGTTTGTTGGCAGTTGAGGCAGTTGCTATAGTTGCAGCCGTTTTCGGGCTGTACATTCTGGGGAGAGCGAAACGTGAAACAAACAGGCCCTGGCTGCCCAAACTTAGAGAGGCTGTTCAGTTTGGAGATTACTGTGGCAACAGGCTCACATGCAAACGCTTGGCTCTCCAGTAGATCTGAGTGGGTAGCAGTCACCGGACCTTAAGTCGACAACAACCATGGCCACGCAGTCTCGCGTGCTTCCGACCCTGCTGGCTGCGGCCTGCTGTGCCACAGTCCTGCGCAGCTTCTGGGGCGCAAGCGATGCAGAGCTGACCTTCGTGGCGCCCCAGCAGAGCGTCCACTTGGGCTGCAAGGCTTTGTCCAGCGGTGCCCTGGCCGCGGGCGATGTGCCTGCCATCGTGAGCACGGTTCCTGCTCGGCCCGGCGTGCCAGCCCACTTCAAGGTGACCCTGGAGACTCCTGATGGCACCCAGTCCTTCGACTGCCCTGAGGACGTGTACGTGCTGGATCAGGCTGAGGAGGAGGGCTTGGAGCTGCCTTACTCCTGCCGCGCTGGCTCCTGCTCCAGCTGCGCCGGCAAGGTGCTCTCGGGCAGCATTGATCAGAGCGACCAGGCCTTCTTGGACGATGACCAGATGGGCGAGGGCTTTTGCCTCACCTGCGTGACCTATGCCACATCCGACGTGACCATCAAGACCCACTGCGAGGATGAGCTGTGAGCAGGCAGCTAGAACTTCACACTAGACCCCACGCTTTTCAGCTTCAGTTTTCTAGGTTGTAGCTGCTGGCCTCAAGCCGAGCGCCATTTTGGCCCTGCTTCAGACATTCTTGCGAAGGAAACATCCATGTTGTGATGTTTGGGTCCTGTGTGTGACCTGTTGCGTTGAACGAGGGCATCGAGTGCCAGTGCCAGAATGCTAGGGTGCCTTGGTGCAGTGATCCAGCATTGATCGCTCAGGCTAGGCTGAAATATCAATAAAACTTAGCCCTTAATTTGCATGGGTACCTAGCCATGCAAAGAAGGCCGGGGATTTACTTAATCTACGTGTAGTCTTCCGTCATCATCCAGTACTTTGCCATCATGTTCCCACTTTATTTCAGAAATGTTCTTTCGTCTTCCCTTCTTCTGCTTCTTCTTGTTCTTTTTGAAGCACGAACAATTTTCGGGTCTAGGAAAGTGGCTGGTTGGGGCAGCTGCCTTGGCTTGCCTGTTCCGTATCTTTGAACTTGTTGCTTGCTTGCAAGTCTAGCCCACAGCACTAAGCAATGCACTAAGCTGACCTCACTTGCGGAGGACCGATCCCTCACTTGCGCCCCACGGATCGGCGCCTCAAGTCTTGCTTACGCCTCCTTGCTTGGATCAACTCTGCCAGGGTGTCCTCTCTTACGCTCTACTTTGCGGATCATTTGTGCCACACACAAGCACAAAGCACAAAGCCAAAGCACAAACCAAAACCCAAAGCACAAGGCACAAAGCACAACGCAGAACGCACAAAGCACAAAGCAACAGGCACAAGGCACAAGCACAAAGCACAAGCACGAAGCAACAGGCACAAGGCACAAGCACAAAGCACAAGCACGAAGCACAAAGAACATAATGCACAAAGCACAAAGCACACAGCTCAATCACTGAGCACAAAGCACAAAGCACAAAGCACAATGACAGAGCACAACGCGCAAAGCACACAGCACACAGCACATTCACAAAGCACAACGCGCGAAGCACACAGCACACAGCACAATCACAAAGCACAACGCACAATCACAAAGCACACAGCGCAATCACACAGCGCAACGCGCAAAGCACAACCGCAAAGCACAAAGGACACAGTGCAAAGCACAAGGCACAAGCACACAGCGCAAGCACAATCGCAAAGCACAAAACGCAAAGCACAAAGCGCACAGCACAATCACAAAACACAACGCACGAAGCACAAAGCACACAGCACAATCACAAAGCACAACGCGCAAAGCACAAAGCACACAGCACAATCACAAAGCACCAAGCACAAAGCACCAAGCACGCAGCAGAATCACAAAGCGCGACGCACAAAGCACAAAGCACGCAGCACAATCCCAAAGCACAACACACACCACACAAAACACGCAGCACAATCACAAAGCACAACGCACAAGGCACAAAGCACACAGCACAATCACAAAGCACAACGCGCAAAGCACAAAGCACACAGCACAATCACAAAGCACAACGCACAAAGCACAAATCACGCAGCACAATCACAAAGCACAACGCGCAAAGCACAAAGCACACAGCACAATCACAAAGCACCAAGCACAAAGCACCAAGCACGCAGCAGAATCACAAAGCGCGACGCACAAAGCACAAAGCACGCAGCACAATCCCAAAGCACAACACACACCACACAAAACACGCAGCACAATCACAAAGCACAACGCACAAGGCACAAAGCACACAGCACAATCACAAAGAACAACGCGCAAAGCACAAAGCACACAGCACAATCACAAAGCACAACGCACAAAGCACAAATCACGCAGCACAATCACAAAGCGCAACGCGCAAAGCACAAGGCGCACAGCACAATCACAAAGCACAAAGCGCAAAGCACCAGCACAAAGCAAACAACACACAGCACAATCACAAAGCACAGGCACAACGCACAAGCGCAAAACACAAAGCACACAGCACACTCACAACGCACAAAGCACAAAGCACAATCACAAAGCTGAAGCACAAAGCACGAAGCACACAGAGAATCACACAGCGCAACGCACAACGCACAACGCACAAAGCACAAAGCACAAAGAACAAAGCACAAAGAACAAAGCGCTTTCAGCACAGCACAACGCACAAAGCACAACACAAGCAGCACAATCACACAGCACAATGCGCAAAGCACGAAGGACACAGCAAAAACACAAAGCACAACGCACAAAGCACAAAGCACAAAGCACAAAGCGCAAAGCACACAGCACAAACCACAAGCAGTTGGCTTTTCCAGGGCTCCTTAGTCCAGAGAGCACACAGCAGACGAGCCTGCTCAGTAGCCAGTGGATTTGAACCAGATCGATTCGATCTTTCGCTTTTTGACCGCCTGCAGGGACTTTTGCGTGTTAAAACTCTGCTGCTGCATTTCGGTCGTTTCTAGAGCTCGTTGCTCGCTTTGTTGACACAGGGGATCCTTCAGTTTACGTTTGTTGCAGTCCATTTCATTTTGTATGCCTTTGGTGAGTCTGTCATGGCCCAAGTTTTGAGGTCCAATAGCCCTTGCCTCGCAGACTTGTGGCAATGTCTCCGGAAGGCGAGGCTGGAAGAATTGGCGCCTTGACTCATTCAGATGGGTATTTTCGGTGTCAATGATGTGGCTGATAGGGCTGATGAGAGCTCAGGAAGTTCCGAGATTTCAGATTGAAGCGCTGTTGGCCGCTTCAGTTCCTGATGTGTCCAAGCAGCCGGGTGCCCAGCGGGCGGATCACCCTTCTGCAGCCAACTTTGCAGGTCGGCCTTCCTTTGTGTTGGCTGCCCAGGCGGGACATCCCAACAATAGGCATGCCGCGTTGGAGAGCTTTGAAAAAGACATTCTGGCTCGCTCCACTTGTCCTGCAGTGGCTTCACGGCTGAGGACTTTCAAGGCCTTATGCGCCGTTTGGGACGTAGTGCCTTTTCCCCTGTCGGTGGAGACGGTCGCTGTGTGGGTGCCAGCTTAAAGGCCGGCGGCTACCGCTCGGCGTCTTCATACTATCAGGCTGCCATTCAATTTCAAATCAGGGAAGGGTGAACCGGTCAGTCATCTCATCGACCAGTCTGTCGAATACAAGGGGTCTTGGCCCAGCTGCTCTCAAGGGAGCTTTCCCAGTGACGGCGTTGGCTCCTTTTGCATGCTGGTGATCCCAACATCGATGAGTTTTGTGTGGACAATCCAGTTCACTTTCGTGATGTGGCTGTGCTGGCATCTTGGTTTATGATGCGTGAGATTGAGTTGTCGGCTGCTCGCGCTGGGCATTTGACTCTTGAAGCAGGCTTCATTTTGTGGGTCATCCCGCGTCACAAGACGGACACTCAGGGCTCCTTGTTGAGTCGTTCACTTCAGTGTGCGTGCAGTGTCGCAGCTCATGCTTTGCCCATGGCATGCTGGAGAACGCCACCTTTCGCGGCTCCATAATCGCAAGGACTTCACATCTTCGAGCACCTTTCCAGGTCGTGACATGCCTTCGGAGATTGCTGAACATGTGGGCGTGCAGACGCAACGTCAGGATGATGCTGGAGTGATCCACGAGCTCTTCGGCGGTCACTCTTTTCGTGTGAGCGGAGCCCAATTCTTGGCGTCCAGCGGGGTGGACACCGCTCGCATTCAGTTGCTTGGTCGACGGGCGTCAACTGCGGCGGAGCGTTATCGGGCACTCAAACACTGGCACAGGTTTCCCACCAGATTTTGCAGGCTCCTTGCACGGTTCCGCAGCCGGTGACTCCAGCAGTTCCGTAAACTGTGGGTGTGCCAGTGGTGAGCCGATGGCTAAGAGACCGCGCCAGTCTCCCGCGCCAGTCTCCCGCGGCAGTGCACGAGCTCCAGGTGGCTCATTCGTGTTTGGCTGCCTTGGTGAACAAGCTGTCTGAGGAAGTGCAGGCGTTGCAGGGCTCGGTTTTGCAGCTTGATGACATTTTGGTTGTTCGCTGCAAGTCCAGGGTTGTTCATATTGGCCTTCCAAATGAACAACACAACAATCCCCAGGATTGGCGAACCAAGTGTGGTTGGCAGTGTGGCACCTCCAGATTCTTTCGGTTACAGTCCATCCTGGCGCCTTTTAGACCTTGCAAAAAGTGCCACCAATCTCCAATTGGAGGACTCTAGCCATAGTGGTTCGGGAGCGGAGCAGCAGGTCTTTGCCTCCAGTTCGGACTCATCGGATAGTGATGAGGTTTAGCGGCTTGCAGGCGCCACTCCATTTGATTTTCGTTTGGGCTGTAAAATGTTTGCAGTCACGGTCTTGCATCATTCCGGTTCCTCGCTTTGGTGTTGCCGTTGTTTCGTTTTCGCGTTGTGGGTTTTGGGGTTTGTTTCTCTGTTTGGTGTTGTTCCTTTCTTTGGTTTGGTTGTCGTGTTTTCCTCGCTGTCTTGTGCCTTTGTTTCTGCCACTTGCCACTTGATGTTTTTGGGTTGAGTGGCTCTTTTTCAACCCCTCAGTTTTGGCTTCCAGCACCCATCATGCCGATTTCCAAGCCTTTGACTGACATAGCCGATGAAGCGGCGGCGGGAGCTGAGATACGTAGATACCTGGATGTGCGCGGCATACGAACTGTGGGCACACTAGCGCTCCTGGCCAACACCCCGGATGAGTTGCAGACTCGCTAGGTGCTGCCGCTTTTGAATGGATGGTCTGAAAGTGACCCACCGGTGAAACTCAAATACTCTGAGGGTCCCATTGCCACTGCCATCTTGCAGCATATGTGGAATCTGTTGGTTAAGCGCTGGCAGCAACAGATGCAGCCTGTGGCTCCATTTTCTTCGGCATCACCAGCGGGCAATTCGGCATCGCCGGCGCCGAGCAAGCAGGTTGATCGGGTTCCTTCTACCTTGCCTCCTGGTGAACGGAATCGCTTGGTCACTGCCTATAATGGAGTGGAGCTTGCGGGCAGGAAACGTCAGTTTCCAGTTGCGCAGCTTTTCGGCGCTGAATGTGTTTTGGCCAGAATGCACTATGAGCATCATGTGTCCAAGCAGTACTCACCACCGACTCTTGGCGAGATCATTCAGAAGAGGAGTTTCACGGTTGGTAGAAAGGCAGGCACTTTGCCTTGAGCCTCGAAGCTGCAAAATCGCACCTTAGCCCTGTGAAGGAAAAGAACGCACGCACTGCAACAGCTGGAAGTCACAGCATGTCATCGCAACGCACACCGCGCAACGCACAAAGCACAAAGCACAAAGCGCAAAGCGCAAAGCGCAAAGCGCACATCACACCTTAAAGCGCAAAGCACAAAGCTCAAAGCACAAAGAAATATTCAGCGCAAAGCGCAACGCACCCAGCGCAAAGCGCGCAGAACAATTTCAATGCGCAGAGCACAAAGCAGAAAGCGCAAAGAGCGAAGCACACAGCACAATCGCAAAGCACAACGCGCAAAGCACAGGCGCAAAGCAGCAAACGTCGCAATTACAAAGCACAAGGCGCAATCACAAAGCAAAACGCACAAAGCGCAAAGCGCACAGCGCAAAGCGCACAGCGCAAAGCACACAGCACAAATACAAGCGAAAAGCACAATAACAAAGCACTAGGCACAAAGCGCAATCGCAACGCACACCGCGCAAAGCGCAATTCGCAAAGCGCACATCACACTCACAAAGCTTAAAGCACAAAGCGCAAAGCTCAAGGCACAAAGAAATATTCAGCGCAAAGCACAACGCACCCAGCACAAAGCGCGCAGAACAATTTCAATTCCCTAACCAATTTATGGGGTCTAGATTCATGGGGTCTAGATTTGGGGGGTTTTTGGCTATCTCGAATTATCTCGAATTATCTCGAAGAGGTAGGTCAGGTTGAAAGCAACTTGCATTTTGGAAATTTGGTTTTGCATTTTTGTTGTTGTTTGACATGTGTGTGTTCAGGAATGCCGTTCTCGATTATCTCGAGCATGTAGGCGAGGTTGAAGGCAACTTGGTTTTTTGGCATTTGGTTTTGCATTTGTTGTTGTTTTCACATGTGTGTGTGTTCAGGAGTGCCGCGCATTATGTTTTGACAAACAACGAAAACAACACAAACAACAAACAACTAACAACTAACAACAAACAACAAACAACACAAAACAAACAACAAACAACAAACAACAAACAACAAACAACAAACAACAAACAACAAACAACAAACAGCAAACAACAAACAGCAAACACCAAACAACAAACAACAAACGCAACACACACACACGACTACCACAACAAACGCAACAAACACAACAAACACAACACACGCAACAAACGCAACATCAGCAACAGCAACATCACCACCACCACCACCACCACCAACAACAACAACAACAGCAGCAGTTCTAGTTGTAGTTGTAGTTATAGTTGTAGTCGCACTCGTAGTTGTAGTCGTCGTTTCTTGTAGTTGCACTTGCAACTGTAGTTGTAGTCGCAGTTGTAGTTAGCGGCGGTTGCTGTTGTAGATGCAGTTGTTGTTGTAGTGGTAATAGTTGTTGTTTTTGCGTGTTGTTAGTTGTTTGCTGGGTGCTGATTGTTGTCTGTTGTTTGTCGTTTGTTGTTAGTTGTTTGATGTTGTTTGTTGCTGTTGCTTTTGCTGCTGCTGCTGCTGCAACTACAACTACAACTGCAACTACAACTACAAGCGCAGCTACAACTACAACTACAACTGCAACTACAAGTGCAATCCCCGCTACAACTAAAACTACAACTGCAACTACAACTACAACTGCAACTACAACGACAACTACAACGACAACTACAAGTACAACTACAACTACACCACCACCACAAAACAAACAACAAACACCAAACAACAAACAACAAACAACAACCTCCAAACAACACACAACAAACAACAGCAAACACCAAACAACAAACAACAAACACAAACATACCAAAAACCAACAACGAACAACAACACAAAAACAAACAACAAACACTGAAATACCAACAACCAACAACAGTAGTGCGTGGGCACACGCGCGGCTTGGGGGGGGGGGGTCGGCCATTTTTGGGCGGTCGCTTTCGAGCCTCACGCGTATGCGCTAGAATGAACAACGACCTCAAGTTATTTCAAGGCACATGTGTTTATCTCAATCGATTTTAGACGCTCGCTTCAAACCCTATCTCAAGTTATCTCGTTTCATCTCAACACAGGTTATCTCAAACGTTCACCCTAAACTCTACCTCAAAGCATCTCTCCCAAACCCAACAAGCCATTGAACCCTTGCCGACGAGGTTTGAAGGGTGGGCTCGTTTGAGGTTTCCGAGGCCCCAACAGTTGTTCCACGTCACAAAGTGTATCAAAGTATCCCAAATTATCTCAAATTCTCTCAAAACACTCACCCAGACTCTATCTCAAATTATCTCAAATTATCTCAAAACACTCACCCAGACTCTATCTCAAATAATTTCAAAAAATCTCATATTATTTGAAAACACCCACCCAGACTCTATCTCAAATTATCGCAAATTATCTCAAATTATCTCAAAACACTCACCCAGATATCACAAATTATCACAAATTATCTCAAATTATCTCAAAACACTCACCCCAGACTCTATCTCAAATTATCTCAAATGATCTCAAAATATCTCAAATTATCTCAAAACACTCACCCCAGACTCTATCTCAAATTATCTCAAATTATCTCAAATTATCTCAAATTATCTCACATATGCATGTGACATGAAGTGAGTTGAGATATTTTGAGATGGCTTTCCCGAAAAGTGGCGGGCATAGACTGTGAAGAAGCTGAAAGTTGTGAGACACTTTGAGGTAATTTTGTTAAAAAGTGGCGGGGGCATACCAAGAATGAGTTGAGACTTTTTGGACACTCGGATATAACTTTGTTAAGCAGCTTTGAGATACACTCGCCAAAAAGTTTTTAATTTTGAGGGAATCTTGATGGAATGTTTAGGGTTTTCAGGGAATTGTGCGGGAATCTTGCCGGAAGTTCAAAGGAAAATTGAGGTGATTTTGAGAGGATGTTGAAGGACTTGTGCGGGAATTGCGCGGCAATTATGAAGGACATTTGCAGGAATGCTGAGGTGTTTGTTTGTATGTTGATGGGATGTTGATGGGGTTTTGATGGAATTTTGATGGAATGTTGTTGGGATTGTGAGGGAAGTGTACTGGATTTTTGAGGGGAACGCGCTGGGATTTTGAAGGAAATGTGATTGAGGTGAACGTGGAGGGAATTTTGATGGGATTTCGAAAAAGGCCTCGCGGTGATTTTTGATGGAATTCCGAGGGAATTGTTGAGGGAATTGTTGAGGGAGTTCTGAGGGAATTGTGAGGGAATTGTGAAGGAATTTTGAGGGAATGGGGAGGGCAATTTCGGAGCCTGTTCGTCAATGATTGATATTGACAAAGGGTATCACTGCAAGCCATGATCGGGCCCGTTCATCTTCTGGAAAAATCAACAACTTAAGGCGGCGCAAGCAGAACAATTGGGCCTAACTGTCGCTAATGCGAACGCACAAGGGTAAACAACAAACACAACGCACACACGCGCGCGACTAACACAACAAACACAACACACGCAACAAACACAGCGTGCGTAACAAACGAAACAACAGCAACAACAGCAACAACAACAACAACATCACCACCACCACCGCCAACAACAACAACAGCAGCAGCAGCAGCAAC